CCCCAAAACCCCAAAACCCCAAAACCCCAAAACCCCTTAAGCTCAATTTAATGAGTAAAATGAATGTTAAAACTTATAAATCTAAATAGTTGATTGAATGGTAATCTTGTTAGTTTCTGTAGATTTGAATATTCTGTAGTTATCAGAGAGTTTGCTGGGACATTGATCCTTTGAGACCCATGAATTTATTTTTTGACTCATAATGTCCAAAGTCTGAAGGAGCCTTGTAGTTTCCTGGTCCTGGATAGCCTAAATTAAGGATTAAAATTGAGTCTTTTTAAAAGAAATCCTGCTCTTACTTTTCTGATCTTTAGTGATGTCAAGAGTTTGTCTATCACTGTGATAAAAGGATCTGATCTTTGGAGATTTGTAAGTAGAAACAAATGAGGAAGTGGGGTCTGCAATGCCTACTTTGAGTTGATATGATCCAGGGCCTGGTCTGAAATCTTTTTTGTCTTCCTTGAATCTTGGCAATGTCGGTAAACTAAATGTGGGGGCCTTAGAATTATGGATCTTTCCAACAAAGTATGTGCCATTTGGGTCAAAGTTAACCTTTGGGTCATAAGCTCCTGGACCTGGATTAAATCTTGTTGAGGTTAGCATTACTATAGATTTTTTTATATCATAATTGTTCTTACCATGATTAATTGTTCTTCCTTTCATTGAGTATTTTGAAGCCTCAGCTCCAATTTTTGGAGGAATGACATAAGTGCCAGGACCTGGAATATTTTTATCAAGAGGTGGATTTTCTCTTAGGTAAACCTTTGAATATGCTTCTCTTGCAATACCAAAGCTATAAGCTCTTGCGTGAGGATCAGTTTTGTCAAAATCACTCTTAGTGCCATAAGCGGTTGGAGATGGGATGTCATCTATATCGCTGAGTAAAGGTGGTCTTACAGTTTAAAACAAAGCTAGTTCTTGTACCATATCCTAGTGATGGGGCTCTCTTCGAAAAAGCAGTTGGAATATCATATGAGACATTTTCGTTACTACAGATTGAATGTTAGAACATTTTATTTTTTGCAAATTTTCATAAGATATCAATATTTAGTATTCATCGTAATTCTCAGAAGAATACTACCACTAATAGGTAAAGTTAACTTACAGAAGTTTCCTTTCAACTCCAAATCTAGGTGCTTTGGAGAATGAGAAAAGTGCTTTCGAGGGAGAGGTATTTGTCGGAGCCAAGCAAATGCTCTAAGCTGTTGAAGCTGTGATTGACATTTATACTAGTTCTAATTAAAATATTTATTCTAAAATTTAGTTAATTAATAATTCTAAGTTCGCAGTAAATTTCTTAAAATTCGATTTATTTTTTAATCATGGGGTTTTGGGGTTTTGGGGTTTTGGGGTTTTGGGG